TGGATGAAAATATTTCTAGTACATTTATAACAGAGCTTTTCTTTCCAGAAAATGCAAATGATTTGTTGAAAATCGGCAAGAAAAAAGACATATTCCAATAGCGAAATACTCAAGACATTTGAACCAGTACTTCACAGAAACAGAGATACAGATAGCCAGAAAACATAGGAACTCAGCCTGCTTACATCCACAGGCAGATGCAGAGCAAAAGCCATGCAAGAGTGGTGAAAACCAGCAATATTAAGTGTTGTTGAAGATAACAGCCAACCAAAACTCTGAAACAAGGCAGGTGAAAGCGTGGCAAAACGACTTTGGCAATCAGATGGCCAATATCTGCTCAAGTTGAATGTATACATATCCCATGACCCAGCATTTCCATATTTAGGTGGATGCTAGGTAGCAAGTGCTCTTGTGCATCAAGAACAAGACAGCCAGGTACAGTGGCTCATTCCTGTAATCCTAGCAATTTGGGAGGCTAAGGCAGAAGGATGGCTTGAGCCCAAGAGTTTGAGACCAGCCTGGGCAACAAAGTGAGAGCCCATCTCTAACCCCTCCGCCCCCCAAAAAAATAGCCAGGAGCAGTGACATGTGCCTGTAGTCCCAGCTACTCTGGAGGCTGAGGCAGGAGGATCCCTTGAGTCTGGGAGGTTGAGGCTGCAGTGAGCTGTGCTTGTGACACTACACTCCAGCCTGAGTGATAGAGCAAGATCCTGTCTCAAGCCAGAAAAAAAAGGGAAGTGGGGGAGAGGGAGAGAGAGATGGGTACAGTAGCACTCATAGCAGCAGTAGTTTTTTTTTTTTTTTTTTAATACGGAGTCTTGCTCTGTCACCCAGGCTGGAGTGCAGTGGTGCAATCTCAGCTCACTGCAACCTCCGCCTCCCAGGTTCAGGCAATTCTCCTGCCTCAGCCTCCCAAGTAGCTGGGATTACAGGTGTCTACCACCACGCCTGGCTAATTTTTTTGTATTTTTAGTAGAGGTGGGGTTTCCTCATATTGGCCAAGCTGGTCTCAAACTCCTGACCTTGTGATCCACGTGCCCCAGCCTCCCAAAGTGCTGGGATTACAGGCGTGAGCCACCACACCAGCCAGCAGCAGCAGTATTTTTTAAGAAACCTGAAGTAGGGGTTAAAATCATTCACTAGTAGTATATTCATACAGTGTGGCCGTAAAGCTGTATCTATGGCTACACATAAGTACCATGCACTCTGCCGGGCCACTGGAGCTCCAGTTTCATAGAACAGCATCAATGAATCTTGGAGACATCAAATTCAGTGAAAGCAGCCAGACACAAAAGGAATATGTCACAGTAGCATTTTATATATTCCCTTAAACAGGCATAACTGAACTCTGGCGTTCAAAGAGACAACCACATTGTTTTATAATAGCTAAAACCTGGAAATAATCCAAATGTCTAGGGTGTGGTTAAATAACTTGTATATTCAGGCAACCCAATACTAGATAATAAAAATGAACAAACCTAAACATGCAGCAACTTTGGAGAATTTTATTTTTTATTTTTATCCTTTTGAGGTGGAGTCTCACTCTGTTGCCCAGGCTGGAATGCAGTGGCGCAATCTGGCTCACTGCAACCTCCACCTCCCGAGTTCAAGCAGTTCTCTGTCTCAGCCTCCCAAGTAGCTGGGATTATAGGCTCCTGGCACCACACCCAGCTAATTTTCGTATTTTTAGTAGAGACAGGGTTACACCATCTTAGGCAGTCTGGTCTTGAACTCCTGACCTCAGGATCCACCCGCCTTGGCCTCCCAAAGTGCTGGAATAACAGGTGTGAGCCACTGCACCTGGTGGGTGAATTTTATAAACACAGTGTTGAGTGGCAGACACCAGACACAAAATAATGTATCATTCCACTGACATAAATTCCAAACACAAGCAAAACTAGACTATCATGTTAAAGTCAGGATATATGATACTAGTGAGGTGAAGGGAGTGGATAGTGACTGGGAGGAGCAGAGAGTGTCTGGGTGATGCACATTTTGTGATCATCCCTTGAGTTATACATTCATACTTTGTGTGCATTTCTCTTTGTGTGTTTCATCTCACAGTTTTCAAAGATTTAGCAAAGTATGAGAGAGCCTGTTCTGGTTTCTACTGTTGCATGACAGGTGAGTCCCCAAAACTGGGGCTTAGCATGAGAGGGTTTTTGGCTTCATCCAGGAAAGAATTTAAGGGCAAGCTGCTGGTGTTAGACAGGACTCTTTTATGAAGGGTGGGGCTTCTTGCAGAGCAGGGCTAACTCACAGGCAGTGCACCCAGAATGGACATTGTATGGGCTCTTGGCAACTGTATTTATATGCATGTAAATGCATTTTTAATTACATGCAAATTAAGGAGCAGGCCAATGCAGATAGAGGGGGCATTATTTAGAACTTTCTAGGAAAGGGGCAGTAACTTCTGGGTTGTTGCCATGGCATTTGTAACTGTCATGGTCCTGGTGGGAGTGTCTTATGCTAATGAGCAAGAAGGACATCTTGGGATCACCTTAGTGGCCTTTGGCTGATTCCTGCTGGTTTCTTCACTTCATCCTGTCTGGACCCGTTTTGGTCAGCAGGATTGTGACCAGAAAAAAAGTCCTACCAGTCTCCTACCTCACTGTTGCTTGGGTTCACACCCCAGCTTTGCTGTTCTCCGGCTGTGTAACTTCAGGCAATTTCCTTAATAGCTGTCAGCCTCACCTTCATATCTGTAAAGTGAAGGTAGTAATCCAATCTATTTTTTGAGATTTGTTATAAAGCTTGGACAAATATTGGAATCTTTGCCAAGCTACAAAGCACTTTACAACAACAGCTGGCACACAGTCAGGGCTGAGTAATTGCAAGCCCCTGCTATTATTTTTACAGTTACTGTGGCCAGTTTATTTGTTCAGCTGAATTGTAAACTCCCATTGGAATTACATTATATTTATAAATCCATCCTGGCTCTCCATGTAGATGAGTTTTTGTTTAGGTCTCTTAGCAAACTTTATTTTATTCACTGTCCTGCATGCTATTTCATAATTTAATCATCAGGCATTTATAGTTTTATGTTTTATTTATATATATTTTTTGAGACACGGTCTTGCTCTGTCACCCAGGCTGGAGTGCAGTGGTTCGATCATGGTTCACTGCAGCCTCCACCTCTCAACCTCAAGCAATCCTCCTGCTTCAGCCATGCCTACCTATTGTATTTTTTATAGTGATGGGGTCTCTTTATGTTGCCCAGGTTGATCTCCTGGCCGCAAGCAATCCGCCCACCTTGGCCTTCCAATGTGCTGGGATTACAGGCACGAGCCACTACACCTGGGCATTTTATAGATGCATTTTGTAGTTGTGAGTAGAATATGCTTTCTCTTGAATTTTGTAATTGCTGATTGCTGGCATAAAATAGCTAATACTTGATGATATGATACACTGCTATCAAGCTTGGTTCTAGATTTCACGTGCTAAATGCGACATTCAGATAGAAACTTAAGAACAGAGAGGTAACGATATCTAGAACATGAATTGGGATTCATTCTGGCCCCAGTGTTCACATTTAACTCACTACTGTATGCTTGGAGAGCTGTTGATTTTTATATTTTTCTTTGGTAACTGGCCACTTTCCCCTAATCTCATTTTTAGTTGATTCTCTTCGGTTTCCAAGAAGCCAATTTTATTATTTACTATTAATTATTTTTTGTATATTCTCCAGCAATTCTTAGCCTGGCCATGTTACTTTGATTATAACTTGTAGGAAAACGTTTTTTAAGAAAGGGTAGAAATTATTCTGTTAGTCCAACTAAATAGTAATGTATTTATTAATTAATTAATCAATTATACAGTCTCACTCTGTTGCCCAGGCTAGAGCACACTGGCACAATCTTGGCTCATTGCAACCTTTGCCTCCTGGGTTCAAGCAATTCTTTTGCCTCAGCCTCCCAAATAGCTGGGATTACTGGTGTCTGCCGTCACTCCCTGCTAATTTTTGTGTTTTTTAATAGAGACAGGGTTTCAAGACATTGGCCAGACTGGTCTCAGACTCCTGACCTCAAGTGAGCCACCCACCTCGGCCTCACAAAGTGCTGGGATTACAGGTGTGCGCCACCGTGCCCGGCCCCTCTGTTTTTTAAATCAGTAAAAATAGGATTGACTATTGACTGGAGAGTGTTGTAGATTTTTTTTTTTAATGTTAAGGTTGTGTTTTTTTAATTACTGAATTTACCAAATGGCATTTGATTTGCTCATTCTGGTTTGTTTTAAAAGCAGGGATGGCTTTTAAACTATATCAAATAACTTTGGGTGTCTATGAAGATGATCATGTGGTTTTTCTGTGCTGAACTACTAGTATAATGAATTGTATTACTGTATAGCCTAATACTGAATTGTCTTTGCATTCCCAGAATTTTTAGCAGAATGCTGAATTTTACTTGCTAAAATTTCTATAAGATTTTTACATATGTAAGTATGAGTGAGATTGGTCTGCAGTTTTCTACTATTTTTGTTAGCTTTTGGCATTGGAAGAATTCTAAGTATGTAAAGGGAATCTGGAAGATTTCTGTCTTTCCTTGCATTATATACTGCATTTTAGAAGGAACTTTTGCATATATATGAGTAAATATGCTCGAAAAACATTAAATTCTGGTGTGGCTGCCCAATATTCTTTATTAACGATCTCTTAGTTTTCTTCAATGAAGATTTCAAGTGTTTCTTCTTTTGTGTTAATGTTGGAAGTTTTCAAATATAGACTAAAGTAATGAGATTGGTATCATTTTGTGCATGCCTTTCACTTTTTTTTTTTTTTCTTGAGTATTTTGATCCTTGCTACTTAAGGTATGGTTTGAAGGTTAGCAGCCTGGGTGTTATTTGCTACAGATGCATGTAATCATGTACCTAGAACCACATACATCCCATCACCTTTGCAATAGTCTGTTGGTTAAAGTCAAGTTACAGGTGCTGCACCTACTCAAGGGGTGAGTGGCACTTTAGATTTTAAGCTATTATTATTATTATTATTATTATTATTATTGAGACAGAGTCTTGCTCTGTCGCCCAGCCTGGAGTGCAGTGGCATGATCTCGGCTCACTGCAACCTCCACCTCCCAAGTTCAAACGATTCTCCTGGCTCAGCCTCCCAAGTAGCTGGGATTACAGGTGCGTGCCACCACACCTAGTTAATTTTTGTATTTTTAGTAGAAACGGGGTTTCACCATGTTGGGCAGGCTGGTCTCAAACTCCCGACCTCAAGTGATCCGCCTGCCTTGGCCTCCCAAATTGCTGGCATTACAAGCATGAGCCACCACATTCAGCCATAAGCCATTATTAATAATGTTGTCCTGAGATTTTTTATTGTGTTTGAATTTTTAATCATTTGTTTTGGGTTCTAGAACAGAGCTACAAAGTCAGAGTGTAAGCTTTTTTAAAGCTTTAATGACTATTGTCTAATTACGTTTTCAGAAATCTAGCTTGGCACAGTGATGTGCACCTGTAATCCCAGCTCTTTGGAAGCCTGAGGCAGAAGGGCCACTTAAGGCCAAGGGTTCAAGACCAGCCTGGATAACATAGCAAGACCTCATCTCTAAAAAAAGTTTTAAAACTTAGTTGGGCATGATGGCATGTGCCTGTAGTCCCAGCTACTTGGGTGGCCGAGGCAGGAGGATCACTTTTGCGCAGGAGATTGAGGCTGTGATGAGCTATTATTGCATCACTGAACTCCAGCCTGGATAACAGAGCCAGACCCTGTCTCTAAAAAAAGAAAAAAGAAAGAAAGAAAACCAGTTCCTCTTGTGTTTATATGGCACACAAATGGCAGCATTGACAATCCATCCATGTGCCATTTCTGCCAACAAGAAATGCCAAGTGATCATTAAATAATGAGAGAATGGGAACGAGGACAGGACTTATCAACACTTCTTGTCACTGACAACTTGGGTGATGATTACCTGAAAGCCTAAAGGGTATTTGAACTAATTTTTTATAGCCTAACACTGTTTGTTCGTTTATCATTCCTTACTAAACGAAAATCAGTGTGTCTGTGTTGAGAAACCTTTGGGTGCCTGGCATGGTGCTAGATGTTGTGGGTGGGAGAAAAGAAATATATCAATATCTCATGTGCCTTCCATAAGGCACGTTAGAATCATACTATAGCATTTATTTTTGTTTCATCTTTCCTCAAAATATAGCTTCGTTTTATAAAAGTTCATAATGAGTTTTGCCTGCCCTGGGTAGTCTGGGTTGAAAAAGCTTGCGAAACCCTCTAAGTTATGGATGACGTCCACCAAGATAACAACGAAGTTGGCCTTTCCTTTGTTTTAGCAACAACGAACTGTCTACAGACTGACGCTTGTGAAAGCGTGGAACGTGGACGAGCTCCAGGCCTACGCGCAGCTCGTGTCCCTGGGGAATCCAGACTTCATCGAAGTGAAGGTAGGCCCCTGCTGGCTCTGCTGGCCGTGGTGGAGTGAAAAAAAGTCGTGGTGCTTCACTGGCCGTGGTGCAGTTAGAACCCTGTAGAACTCGGAAGGAGGTCCCAGGAATCGTGTTGGTGTGTTCATGTAGTGATCAGTGTTCATCAAGAACCTGCCGTTGTTCTAGGCCTTGGGGATAACAGCAGTCAAGAAGACTAAGCTCTTGCTCTTGTAAAGCTAGTGTTTCAGTGGGAGGATAGACAGTCGACACAAATGAGTAATTAAAAGCCAGGGAGTGACATGAATATGCTGAGAAATAGAATAGTGTGGTGGTGAGTAATTGTTGGCTTTTACATAAACCTTTATTTCAGACATACAGAAGTAAAGAGATTGGTCTGATGAACCCCCACACACCCATCACCCACCTTCAAAACTGAGCAACTCATGATCCAGAGTTGTTTCAATTATACCTTTACCCATTTTCTGTGCTCTTAGCCCAGATTCTTTTAAAGCACATCACCAAAATTATGTTATTTAATTGTTTTGTTTCATTTAATTGTTTCTTAAATGAAACAAAATTTAAAGCAAACCACCAAAATTATATCATTTAATTGTTTTGTTTTCATAAATGTTTCGGCATATATTCCTAAAAGATATGTACTCTTATTTTCTTATTTTTAAATTTAGTTTAATTTAATTTTGAGATAGGGACTCGCTCTATCACCAGGCTAGAGTGCAGTGGTATGATCATAGCTCACTGTGGCCTCTAACTCCTGGGCTTCAGCAGTCCTCCTGCCTCAGCTGCCCAAATAGCTGGGACTAGAGCTACATGCGACTATGCCTGGGTATTTTTTGTAGAGAGAAAGCCTCACTGCATTATCCAGGCTGCTGTCAAACTCCTGGCCTCAAGTGACCCTCTTGCCTCAGCTTCTCAAAGTGCTGGGATTATAGGTATGAGCTACTGTACCCAGCTGATGTGTAATCTTTTTTTTGAGGGGGGGGCGGAGTCTCACTGTGTCACCAGGCTGGAGTGCAATGGTTCAATCTCGGCTCACCGCAACCTCTGCCTCCTGGGTTCAAGCAATTCTCCTGCCTCAGCCTCTGGAGTAGCTGGGATTACAGGCACCCGCCACCACATCCAGCTAATTTTTGTAGTTTTAGTAGAGACAGGGTTTCACAATGATGGCCAGGATGGTCTCAATCTCTTGACCTCGTCATCTGCCCGCCCCGGCCTCTTCAAGTCTTGGGATTACAATTGTGAGCCTCTGTGCCCTGCCCCACTGATGTGTATCCTTCTTAAACAGTTATTGAGAGTGCTGGGCTCATACCTAAAAATTTTCATTTCCTCTTCCGCGTGTTTTTTTCCTCTTATAAATCGGTTTTGCTGTAGAAAATGGATCGTGCATCTTGGCTGATTCCCTGTATTTATATTTTAGATTTTGTTGATTGCATGTTCCTCTGTTTCCTGTATTTCCTGTGGATTGGTACCTATAGTTAGATCAAGAGAGGACTGATGAAATTCAGGGGTGCATGTATGTGGGTTTGCTTGTATTTCAAGAGTATTTGGTTGGTGGTCTTGTATACTCCAGTCAGGAGTCACATAATGTCTGCTTGCCTCTCATATTTTTCCAAGTGTTTCTTTGTGATACATTCCTATGAGTGTATTGCTGGGTCAAAGGGTAAATGCATCTATTATTTTACTACATATGGTGGTTGACTATTTTAGGGAAGCTTTTGTAAGATGACATTTTATTTTATTTTTTGTTTTTTGAGATGGAGTCTTGCTCTGTCACCCAGGCTGTAGTGTAGTGGCGCAATTTCTGCTCATTGCCATCGCCGCCTCCTGTATTCAAGCAATGTTTTCTCCCTCGACCTCCCAAGTAGCTGGGACTATAGGGATCCACCACTGCACCTGGCTAATTTTTATATTTTTTAGTGGAGACGGGGTTTCACCGTGTTGGCCAGGCTGGTCTCAAACTCCTGACCTCAAGTGCTTCACCCACCTCGGCCTCCCAAAGTGCGGGAACTGCAGGGATTAGTGCCACCAGGCCCAGCCTGAGATGCCATTTTGAAAACTGATACATAAATGGTAAGAAGCAGCCCCACAAGCAGAAGCCCGGGGTAACAGTGCTAGTGCACAGAGGTCCTGTGCTATCCTAGCGGAGTGGCTGAGGTTGGCAGTGGTACAGGATGAATCAGAGCAGTGGGCTGGGGCAGCTTGTGTGAGGCCTTTCAGATAAAGATAAGGAGATTGGATTTTAAACTAAGTTTGATGGTAAGCTTTTTAAATATGGGTGCACTAGGAAAGGGCAGGAAGCTGGGGAGAGAGGCAGTCTGATTTGTGGTTGTGAAAGATCACCCCACTGCTGCTGCATGACTTGGTTATAGAGGGCAGTGGAGTGGACAGAACAGCCACGAACTGAGTGGTTAGTCCAAGCAAGAGATGGTTTGGGGAAGGTCAGTGGGGTTTGAGCAGGGTTGGAGAGCAGTGGCTACATTTAGGATTCCTTTTGAAAGCGGAACTGATAAAACTTTTTGCCTGATTAGAAGTACAGGCTGAAAGAAAAAAGAATCAACAACACCCGAGTTTTTGGCTCAAGCCATTGCGTGGACGGTGGAACTGTTTGCTGAGATACAGAAAACCAGCGGGGAAAAGGGGACACATTTGGGGAGAAATGTTGAGCTCCCTGGTGGCCATGTTAAATTTGAGATAGCTTTAAATATCCACACAGAAGATTAAATAGATCGTACGTTTTACAAGCTCAAAGTTTCAGGGATAAGACCGGGTTGGAAATTATGATTTGGAAGTAATGGCTTTTTTGGGCAACTAACAGTCCATAAGACAGGAGAAGTGATGGGAACTGTCTGCTCATTTCAGTTTATAGTTTTGAAACTGAACACCCTCTGTGTCATATCAGAGATCTTTTAGAGTTTTACAGCTGTCTTTTGGCGAGTTTAGCTTTTGGTATTACTCTGGAGGGGGTGGGCAGGTGGGAACAGATGAAATACTGCTGTCTGGGTATGTAATATTTTATCTCTGGTCAGGCCAAAGACACTCTTAAAATTGCTCTTAATTTCAAAAGGCTACTCTTGGCAGGAGCTCTAATGATGCAAAGATACAAACTGCAGCTGAAAATATGTGTCAGCTTAAGCCAACCTTGCCAACATCAGAAATTAGTGTTGTTTTAATTTATGATTTAGCTATTAAAGAATGCTGCCTCAAATTATGTTGCAGTAAAAGCTCTATTATAATAAAGAAGCTTGGCTGGATCTCCCCTTTTTTCATTTCCTTCCTTTCTTCCTCTCCACTCCGCCTCTCCCCGCTCCTTCCTTACTTTCACAGTTATGTTTTTCTATAAAGGACACGGTATTTTAAATCTGGGAAAAAAAAAAAATCAGTCAACGTTATTTTTTAAAGAAAGACAGCTACTTGGTAAACAGTATAATTCTCTGCTGGGTATTATTCGGCTCGCCAAACTGTGAGCATTGCTAGGAAATAGATAAAGCCTTCTGTCTATAGCTGAGATGTTTTGCTTTATTTTTCTGAGAGTCTTGCTCGGTTGCCAAGGCTGGAGTGCAGTGGTGCAACCATGGCTCACAGCAGCCTCCAACTCCTGGGCTCAAGTGATCCTCTCACCTCAGTCTCCCAAGTAGCTGGGACAACGGGTGCACACTACCATGCCTGGCTAATTTAAAAAATTTTTTTATTTATAGAGATCAGGTCTCACTGTTGCCCACGCTGGTCTTGAACTCCTGGCATCAAGCAATCCTCCTATGTTAGCCTCCCAAAGTGCTGGGATTACAGACCGGAGCCACTGTACCCAGTCTAGCAAATATGCTGTAAACAACAAAGTTTTCTTTCAAAATTTCTATTTTACTCTTTTGTCCCTGCATTCAACAATGTTTTTGAGCTCTCTCCATGTGATAAGCCTTGTTAAAGCACTAGAGATGAAAAATTTTATGTAAATGTGCTATTTAGGAAATGAATGTTTTATTGAAAATAGACAAAAATATGTAAAAGTAAAATAACCTACTCTGAGAGATTTTATAGTTAAAAACTCTTGGAGAAATGATCGCCCAGACTGGAGGTGCAGTGACACAATGTTGGCTAACTGCAACCTCCGCCTCCCAGGTTCAAGCAATTCTCATGCCTCAGCCACCCAAATAACTGGGATTGCAGGTGTCCACCACCACGCTTGACCAATTTTTGTACTTTTTGTAGAGACACGGTCTCTCGCAATGTTGCCCAGGCTGGTCTTGAACTCCTAAGCTCAGGCAATCTGCCCACCTTAGCCTCCCAAAGTGCTGGGATTACAGGCGTGAGCCACTCTGCCCAGCTTAAAATAAATTTTGTGATGATAAAATATAATCTAATAAATAATCGTTTATGTTACATCAGAGGAAGGCACAGTCAGTCTTGCCTTTTTTTTTTTTTTTTAAATTTTTTTTTTTTTTTTTAAAGATGGGATTTCACCGTATTGGTCAGGGTGGTCTCGAACTCCTGACCTCAGGTGATCCACCCACCTCAGCCTCCCAAAGTGCTGGGATTACAGGTGTGAGCCACCAGGCCCGGCCAGTCATGTCTTATCTTTCGTACAAGATCCCAGGGAGAAATGTCCTGCAGTGAATGTCAAATGCCTGGTCACTGGAGGATTCCATCTCATGCTTTGTTAACTTACCTGTCATTTGTCCAGCAAGTTAATGAGGTGTCTTCCTTTGATGTTGTAGTAGCAAAAAGGGTGTTTACAGAATATAACATACTGCTACTAAGAGGCAATAATATTCATTATGAAATTACATTTTCTTTTTTTTTTAAAGTTTAATTTCTTGATTGCATTTTCAGTGTTGTATGTTCAAATGTATTTATGTAAGAAAAATATGGAAGGATGTATGTCAGACTGTTAACAGTATTCTATTTGGGAGAAGGGGAAAGAAAGGTTTATTTTACTTTTTATAATTATGTATTGTGTCGATTATTACAATGAGCATGCATTGGTTTGTAATTCAAAAGACAAATGAAATCAGTAAATGGAGAAGCCATCCTTTTCCTGTTCAATAGGATTAAAGTACAGAATATCTGAAAAGACATCTTTTTGTTGTTATTGTCTTATTATTAAAGTTATAAATTTCTAAAGTAGAGGAGTTTTAAAAATTATTGGCTGGGCACAGTAGATCATGCCTGTAATCCCAGCACTTTGGAAGGCCAAGGCAAGTGGATCACTTGCTGTTAGGAGTTTGAGACCAACCTGGCCAACATGATGAAACCCTGTCTCTACTAAAAATACATAAATTAGCTGGATGTGGTGGCAGGTGCCTGTAATCCCAGCTACTTGGGAGGCCAAGGCATAAGAATTGCTTGAGCCCAGAAGGATAATAAGACCTCTCCATAAAATATTTGATAAGAACTAGCAATATGGTAGGCTATAACCTCAAACCTCTCTAAGGATAAACATTTAGAAGTGAACCTGTTATGAAAACCATACATTTGGGAGGCTACATATCTGTCAGGGCCGTAAGGGAGACACTCTAGGACCTATAAGGAAAGAGACCATTCTGGAGGCACTCCATGGTTCCAGACGACAGGATTTGGGATTAAAGGACAGAAGACTAGGCCCTTTCACCTTCAGTGAAAGGATGGATTAGGGAAAAACTCACCACGGACACAGTAACAGTTGGAAGGCTTTTTCCTTACCTGCAAAGAACAAGCCTCTCCAGGGCCTTACCCTCACTCAAAGGGCCTTGGAGTTCAAATTTAATATTATATTAAATTTGAATTTAATATAATATAATTTAATATATGCTAAGGTCATATAAATGCCCCCAAGATGTGAAATCCGTAATACAAATTGGCCCTACGTTCCTGGATATGCCTGGAGCTCCCTGCAGACACAAACCCAATGCTGTTCATACCCTTTGTATTTCAACTGAGTTGCTTATCTTTTTGTTATTAGGTTCCTTGACACTCACGCACATACACATGCATGTGTATGTGCGTGCATTCAGAGTATTGTACCGAACTGTTTACACATTTCTAAATCTACTTTGAGGAAAGTTTCTGACATGTATGTATCTCCCTATTCAACTTGCTTTTCTCATTTTTCTTGTAGCACCAATCTAATTGGATTTAGAAAAGTCTGCCTTCCTTTTTCTATCTACCCTGTGCATACGTTCTCATTTATTTGTGAGTCAAAGAAAAATCATCTTAACTTTGGTCATGTAAGTGGTTGCATTAACACCCATGGGTCAGGAAGGGTGATTGTAAATTCGGGAGTGGCGTCGTGGACAGACATGCCCTTGGCACCTTTTCTCCCTGACGTGTGTGTGGGCGCACGTGTGTGTGTGTGTGTGTGTGTGTGTGTGTGCACCGATGCGCATGTATGTGTTGTGTGCATGTGTTTGTGTTGTGGGCATGTGTGTGTGTCCGTGTGTGTTGTGTGCATGTGTGAATTTGTGTGCATGTGTGTATGTGTTGTGTGTGTGTTGTGTGCGTGTGTGTGTGTGTGTTGCGTGCATGTGTGAATGTGTGTGTGTGCATGTCAAGTCTGGGGTCTCCCATAGTCTGCACACACTGGAGTCTCATGAGGGGCAAGAGGCAGTGCACAATTTCGATACCTACCTACAATATACCAGTGTAGCCTGGAATGGGTTATTCATCCTCCTTGAGCATAAATTCTGTCAGTATTAAATTAGAATAAGAATATCTCTTTAATAAGTTTGTTTGAGAATTCAATGCAGTAATGTAGGCCCATATTCAGTAAGTGTTTAGATCACTTTCCATTAAGCATATTTGTTCACAAGAAATCAATAGAGGCTATTTCTTTATTTTATGGATTTCCTCTTTTCTTTCATTACCAGTCTTGTACAATATTTTTCTGCGATATTCCTTGTAAATTAGCATGTATTTTAGCTTCATTAGGCTTAAAGAGGCCTTTATTTGCTAGCCAGATAATCTTCCTTGTCATTATCTGCTTGCTTGCTTGCTTGCTTGTGAAAAGTTTTCGTGTTACAACCATCTGTCTTGCTGAAAACTTTTGTAACACAACACTGTGTATTCTCTGCCTAGCATTACACCTTGAGAATAGGAAGTGCTCAGTAATTATTTGTTGTCAAATAATTGAAAGCACCTGAGCTGTGGATAGTGCTCAATCCTTGCAGAATGCACCCTGCAAAATGATTGTCTTAGCATATCCTCACTCTCCCCCTCAAAGCTGAGGAATACAGTCAGTTTTTCTTGTACTTAGCAGTCCCCAACCAGTGTTTATCAGCTGGTTCGTAACTGTTACAGAGTAGAAAACTCCTGAATAATGCAAATGAAATTTTATATTGGATTAGAAAAGAGTTGTGGAGTTTAAAGTCGTAGAAGAATGTCTGACTTGGTTTTTCATTCATTTAGCATAGATTGATTTGGGGTGCCAAGAAGAGCAAGGCACAGCTGTTGCCCTTGAAGGGCTCAGAGTTTAATGCTTCGTTTTACCAGTTACCTGGTAACAGATAACTGCACAGGATGTGGTAAGATCAGGGTCAGAAAGGGTGGAGGTTCCTGAGCAGAGGTTAAAAAATGATGGGTCGTTTTAGCCAGGTGCAGACAGGATGCTGAGTGGGCAGTCCATCTCTAGAGTTACTTGTGCATAAGGCCAAAGACGGGCTTGAATGGCTGATGGTTTATTGTTAGCACAAGCTACAGAGGCAAGTGAAGAAGGCCTCGTGCCATGATGAGAAGCTTGTACTGCTTTAAAGGGAGTTACTGAAGCATTTTTAGGATAAAGGAATGAAGTGTTTGGGGTACATTGTGGGAAAAAAATCATAAAGTCATTATTTCTTTTCTCATCAAACTCTAGGGTACAAAAAACAGTATGAGGAGGACATAAAACAAAACTCTAGAGGACAAAAAACAAAATGAGAAAAGCAAGTTGAATAGGGAGATACATACATGTCAGAAACTTTCCTCAAAGTAGATTTAGAAATGTGTAAACAGTTCGGTACAATACTCTGAATGCACGCACATACACATGCGTGTGTGTTTCCATTTTAAAGTCAAGGAACCTAATAACAAAAAGATAAGCAACTCAATTGAAATACAACAGGTATGAACAGCATTGGGTTTGTGTCTGCAGGGAGCTCCAGGCATATCCAGGAATGTAGGGCCAACTTGTGTTACTGATTTCACATCTTGGGGGCATTTATATGACCTTGGCTTACTATAATATTAAATTTGAACTCCAAGGCCCTTTGAGTGAGGGTAAGGCCCGGAGAGGCTTGTTTTGACACCCAGTTGGTTTAATTAGAATATCAAGTAGTCAAACCCAATACTGCTCTTCCCACAGACTGTGAATCCCAAGGCAAACTCTCTAGGCAGCCAGTGAGGAAGACCTTGTGGCCCTGTCTTATCTTAGTCTGTTTGCATTGCTGTAAAGGAGTGCCTGAGGCTGTGTGACTTGTAAGGAAGTTTACTTGGCTCCTGGTTCTACTGGCTCTGCAAGAAGCATGGTGCCAGCAGCTGCTTGTGGTGTGGGGGCCTCAGGCTGCTTTCAGTCATGGCAGAAGGCAGAGAAAAGAGAGAGAGAGACAGACAGATAGATGGATGGACACTGCCCTCATGACCCAAACACCTCCTATTAGGTTCCACCCCAACACTGGGGATCCGATTTCAGCATGAGTTTTGAAGGCTCAGATATCCACAGTGTAGCAGCCCCCATCTCCTAGGGCAGTGGGGTGGGTCCGGAAGCCACCAGGGTGTAAAAGTGAGGGTTATGCTTTTCACTGCAAACTCAAAGATGCATAAATGATCTTGTTCTGCTTGTTACTCCTCAGCCTGCAGATCCTGGCGTGAGTAACTTGGCTTTTCCGTCGCCACGCTGTACCCATCTGTTTTCCTCAGACTGTTCTTTACTCAAAGTTTTGGGTGAAGAACATGCTGCTTCTGATAAGTGGAGTTGGGGCTGAGGGTGAGAGTGGATGAGAAGGTGGCAGACAGCCGTGGTGCGAAGGGAAAGCTTTTCAGATGATGCTGCGCTCAGGAATGAAGTCAGGGCAAGCGTTCGGGAGACTAGACTAGATGAGTATGGGATGAAGTGGGGCGGTCACAGCAGAGAGAACACCAGACAGAGGCACTGGGTGCCTGAGTGAGGGCTCGGGTCCTGGAGGTGACCCCCAGTCCAAGTCACCAAGACCATTTCTGTCACGGTGCAGGTTT